ATCCCCGGCAGCTGCGGAGAGAGACCTGCCTGCTGTCCGAGGTGCGGTGGGGCGCAAGCCCCAGGGCCTGGCGCGAGTGCTGCCTGAACGCGGCCCGGCACGCAGAGGCCAGCTTCCTGCACAGGCTCACGTTGGGGGGACGTCTGCAAGGCCCGGCCCGCTGCACCATCACCTGGTTCCTGTCCTGGAGCCCCTGCCGGGAGTGCGCCAGGGCCACCGGGCAGTTCTTGAGGCAGCACCCGAACGTGAGTCTGGTCGTGTACGTCGCGCGGCTCTTCTGGCACGTGGACGAGCAGAACCGGCAAGGACTCAGGGACCTGGTGGCCGCGGGCGCGCGCGTGCAGGTCATGAGCGACCCAGGTAACAGCGAGCCTGGAACCGCTGGTGACGGCTCCCTGGGGGAAAGGGAGCGGGACTGAGGCCGGTGTGAGAGTGGAGCAGGGCAGCCCCTCAGGGCAGGGCCTGGCGCCGGGCCTGCTCCCTACACTGCCCCGGTGGCTCTTGGCGGACTCTGCGCCTGGGCGCTGGGCGGGGTCAGGGTGCTGCCCGCGCCACACGCGCAAAGGGGCGGAGCCTTTGTGCACAGTGTGCACACGAATGCGTGTGCATTCCCTCTGCACACGAGTGTGTGCATACCAGCGAACATCTGGGTCCTAGGCCTTGCGCTCAGGGCCCCACACCTACACTTTCAATGAGCCGCACCCCAGCCAGCACCCCTGTGTACCTTCCCCCTGTGTCTGTGGAACGAGGCGGATCTGTGCTTCCCTAGAGTTCTGCCACTGCTGGAGGAACTTCGTGAACTACCCTCCCGGGCAGGAGGCGCGCTGGCCCCGGTTCCCACCCGTGTGGACCATGCTGTACACGCTCGAGCTCTGCTGCGTCCTGCTAGTAAGTGGCTTTGGGGACGCAAGTGCTGCGGGAGAAGGAAGCTGCCTGCTCCCAGCTTCTCTCCCGAGGGACTGGCGCGTGTGCTCTGAGTGCTGTAGTCCTTTTACCACCTGACTTGCAGTACAAAGAGGAGGCTGTGGGGGTCCATGCTGTGATCCCAGCCCTGAGGCTGAGGCAGGAGGATCGCCATGAGTTTGAGGCCAGCCTGGGCTACATAGCAAGTCTAAGATCCACCTAGAGCACAAGAGACTCAGTCTCAAAAGAATCAGAAAAAAGCCGGGCATGGTGGCACAAGCCTGTAATCCCAGCAATTGGGAGGCTGAGGCAGGAGGATCGCTGTGAGTTAGAGACCAGCCTGAGCTACATAGTGAGTTCCAGGTCAGTCTCAACTACATAGCGAGACCCTGTCTCAAAAAAAAAGAGAAAGGGCCAGGGATGTAGCTTAGTGGTGCTGCTGCCTGCCTGGCAAGTGCAAGGTCCTGAGTTCCATCCCTGGTACCAAAAAAAAAAAAAAAAAAAAAAAAAAAAAAAAAAAAAAAAAGAAAGAAAGAAAGAAAAATTGAAAAACAAGACTTTTTTGGTGGAAAATGAGTGAGAGAAAAGAATGGGCAAATCGGCCTAAGATACATGTGTCTTTTAATCATATTCATTCCTTCATCGTTACTATTGTTTGTATATATTTGCTATTGTGGTTTGTGGTGCTGTAGATTGAAATCTTTGCCCTTGCCCCTGAATTACAGCCCCAGTCATTTACAAATTTATTTTGAGAAATCTCTCTGTAAATTGATTGCTGGGCTGGGTTGAATTTTCAATCCTTCTTTCTCAGCCTGTCAGGGTGTGGGGGGTTGCAGGCATGCACCCCAGGGCAAGGCAGCTATCATGTCTGTCTGTCTGTCTATCTATCTATCATTTAGCTATCTATCCAGGGCATCCACTGAGCTATAGCTTTTTTTTTAACATAAGATTTTGGTAAATTGCTAGATTACCCATCTTGATCTTGAACTTCTGATCCTCCTGCCTCAGCCTCCCAGAGTGCTAGGGTTACAGGCATCCGCTACCACACCCAGTTTGTAGTCATGTTTTATGTTTGTTTGTTTTTGGTACTGGGGATGACCTTGGCAGTTTATGAGGCAGATGGGTACACCACTGAGCTAAATCCCCAGCTGCTTTGTTTATTTGTCTTGAGACAGGGTCTTGCTATGGAGTTCAGGCTGGCCTCAAACTTATGGCGATCCTCCTGCCTCCGCCTCCTGAGTGCTGGGATTACTGATGTGCACCACCATGCCTAGCTCAAGTTTTGCTTTGTTTTTAGGCAGAGCCTCCTCTGTAATGTGGGCTAGATTAGAATTCCTTGCACTCACTAAGCAAGCCAGGCTGGCCTTGGGCTCACAGCACGGTCCTGCCTCAGCAGGGTGCTGGGCTTCCCTGCTGTGGCGGCTGCCTTTCCAACTCACAGTGGCTCAGCAGCCCTTGGTCTCCTCTCCCTTGGTCTGTCATCCTGTCGGAGAAAGACAGGTGTCCTGTGTGGATGCTTGGAAGTGGCTTGGCATTCTCCCAGTTGACATTTTCAATGCTCATGCTAATGATAATTCTCATTAAATATCTGCTCTGAGGGTAAAATATAATTCTTTTTTATTCCAGAATCTTCCACCCTGTTTAAAGATTTCAAGAAGATGTCACAATCAGCTTGCATTTTTCCAACTTAATCTTCAAAATTGCCATTACCGAGCGATCCCACCCGCTGTCCTTTTCGCTGTGGGGCTGATACACCCTTTTGTGGCGTGGGCCTGAGCAGGTCCCAGAGTGGCGTTGGCGCCTCCTCGGGAGTGAGAGCCCTCTCCAATCCAGGATCCGGCGGGGGGAGTGGGCTGGAGGCAGGAGTTGTCCGGCAGGTGCCGGGCTCTGGGTTCAAACCCCAGAAATGAACAAAAAAGAAAAAAGAGGAGTCTAGAAAATTTCACAAACAGCGATATCACACATTATTGTGTGTTCTTTTCTCTGTCTCAAATTACTCCACAACTTTGCACTTTCAAACAATACATATTTATTTTTACCACAGTTTTTGTGGCTCAGGAGTTCTGTGTGTGTGTGTGTGTGTGTCTGTGTCTGTGTCTGTGTCTGCCCCGGGGCTCCCCTAAGGTGACCTGGGGATGTCAGCCTGTGCCAGGGACCAAGTCCCCCACTCAAGGCCTGGGGAGGTGACAGTGGGCGTGGAGGGTGTCACTTGCTGCCTCCCAGGTGCCTCGCCTCCCCTTGGCTGCTCCCAGCGGGCAGCCGCCTTCCCCTGGAGCCAGGGGCCTGGGGACAGCAGCGCTGCCAGGTCCCCATCTTCAGCGACTGAGGCCCAGACTTGCCCTGCTCCCTCCCTGTCTAGGCTGTCCTGGTCACACGGGCCAGGTGCGGGCACTGCGTGGGCGCTCAAGTCCCAGCCAAGAGAACCACGGGCAGCCGGCTGCGGTCCCCTCGGGCCTAGGGACTTCCTCCGTCTTCTGGACAAATAATTCCATGGCGCTGACCTCTAAGAAGACATAGCCAGGGCTGGGGATGTAGCTCGGTGGTGCTGCTGCCTGCTTTGCAAGCTCAAGGACCCGAGTTCGATCCTGGATTAAAAAAAAAAAGAAAGAAAGGCAACAAAAGACATAGCTAGAGGGAGACAAAGGACAAAGCAGCAGACTTGTTTCTTTTTGCATGAGAATTTAACAGGATTTGTTTGCTTTGTGTGTGTGTGTGTGTGTGTGTGTGTGTGTGTGTGTGTGTTGGAAATGGAACCCAGGGCCTCCCATGAGCTAGGCAAGGGCTCTGACACTGAGCCATTCAGCAAGAGATTTATCGTCAGAGTGTGTAGCTTGATTTATCGCAGCAATAACGACCACCTGCAAATCTGAGTGGCTTGACACACAGGGGGAAAAAAGTTTCTTTCTTGCTTTCTTTGTGATATTCTAACACAAGGTGGACGGGAAAGCCGGGCCTTGAAACCTTCTGCCGAGTTCTGACCGTTCAGCCCGCGTGGGGCGGGCAGCTCCCACTCAGGACTGAGAAAGCGTTTGGAGCAGGGACTGAAAAACAGCGCTGCTGCCCGGTCCTCCTACCCCGAACCAGACCTGGGCCCCGCGCCGGGCTGAGGCCTTCGGAAGGAGCCTGGGAGAGCAGGACTCGGAGCCGTCACACGGGGGCGCTGGCCGCCGAGAGGCTCCTGCTGGCGGGGGTGAGCTGGAAGGAGCCTCGCTGACTCGCGGGGGTCAGGTTGGCTCGCATTGCCTGGCTCGCTCGTCCTGGCTTCTGGGAACACGGCTGTCTCCCGGCTGTTCATGTGAAGGCCAGGTACGTTTTGTTTTCTGGTTTTGCTCTTTGACGCTGGGGACTGAATCCAGTACCTTGTGCACGCTGGCAAACATTCTGCCCCTCAGCCACAGCTCCAGCCCTCTGCGCAACTTCTTTTTTGTTTGTTTGTTTGTTTGTTTGTTTGTTTGAGACAGGGTCTCACTATGTAGTTGAGACTGACCTGGAACTCACTATGTAGCCCAGGCTGGTCTGGAACTCACAGTGATCCTCCTGCCTCAGCCTCCTGAGTGCTGGAATTATAGGAGGAATGATATTTTTAAATACGCAGGAATTAAAGTCTGATGACAGAGTAGCATTCCATGAAACAGAGTTCTAGAAATGGAGACTACCTATAAATAAATTCAAAAACTTTCCTTTCTGCTGATGGGATGAGATTTGAAAATTGTAAAAAGAAGTCGCAGAGGTTTGATAGTCACAGATCCATGGGGGACACTAAAGTTCCAAAGCCAGTTCCTAGCCTTCCTCCGAAACAACCCTGCATAAACCAGAATCAGGAACCCAAATCAGAAATCGGGTTAGGCCAGGGGCAGACTGAACCGGAAGGAGTTCTCATTATCCACTTTTTATAGGAATCAGGAAGCTGTCCAGCTATTCACGGCCGGGATAAAGCTTGTTGCTTTGTCTGTTCCCATGTGTGTTGGGGAGCTCCAGGTCCTGCACGCTCCAAGTGTATCCTCTGCCACTGAGCTGCACCCTGGCCCAGTAGATCAGTGAGTAGATCAGTGTTCTCCCCCAGCGCTGCTCCCTGTGGCTGTGGCTTGGCGGACTTCTCTGCGGGACCAGGGGAGTTTGAGGCAAGTCCAGTGCCCAATGGGAGAAGTCGCTCTGCAATCATGGGCTTCCTTTTTTCTTCTTTTTGAGGTACTGGAGGTTGAACCCAGGACCTCACCCTAGCTCTGCCACTGCACTTCATCTCGACTCCTTTTTCAATTTTTATTTTGAGACTGGTCTCACTATTGCCAACTCTGGTCTTGAATTTGCAGTTCTCCTGCCTCAGCCTCCCTCAGCTGGGTTGGCAGCATGCACCACTGTACTAGGCTCCCCTTCATTCTCCTGGACCCTGCCATGTGCCAGGCAAGTGCTGTACAACTGAGCTACATCTGCAGCCCAAAAGTGTAATTACCTCCTCTGACAATCAAAATCCGACTGCAAAGTGAACCTCGTTAGCTGTTTCAGCTTCTTCTGTGCCCTCTTGATTTTCTACTTTTGTCTGATGATTGGGTTGAATTTCACTGAATTTATTTTTTTAAACTTTAAAAGTTTTGACTTGAATGTGTTTTCCTAACTAAGGCATAAAACTTCTACATACCAATAATGGGGTATGCAGAATTTTAAAGCTGTGTTAGACAGACCGAGAGCCAGTACCCAGGTCGCTGGATCAACAGGAACCCTAAAATTGTGTTTGTGAAAGAGTGCTGAGGCTCAGGATGTAGCTTACTGGTAGAACAGTTACCTCCGTGTGTGAGATCTCCAGTACATTCGAACAGCCGGGCGTGGTGGCACACACTTGCAATCCCGGCCTGTAATCAGGAGGCTGAGGCAGGAGGATCACAAGGAGTTCAAGGCCAGCCTGAACTGCACCGTGAGACTCTGTCTCAAGAAAGCAAAAACCCTGAAAGCTTCCTTGAAGGACAAATTGCTGCCGGGCTTTTCAAGAAAAGTATGGGAAACGAGATGTTTGACCCAGGCCTTTACAATTCTGAAGAAAAATCTTTCACGGCTGTGACTTCTAATCTCACCCCAACTCTTCAGTCGGAGTGGGAATGAAGACATTTGCCCCACGTGCGCTGACCAGTCACTCCCCAAGCCTAGCACGTGAGACCCCCCTGGCTCCACCTCTAGTACCAGAAAACAGCATTGCCCGGATGTAGCTCAGGGGTGCCACCACCTGCCTCACAAGCACAAGGTCCCGAGTTCGATCCCCGGTACCCCCAAAAAAATACATACAAGAAAAGAGCATTAAACTTGCACGTTTTCCACACGATTGCTGACCCTGGATTTCACGAATGCCTGTGCTCTGACGGTGTGATAGTGCCCCATTTAACTTCAAATTCTTCATCCTTCTCAAATTCTTTCTGGCGTACCGCGTTTCGCATGCTGCTCGCTAGTCCTTCTGGGCCCTCTGGGAATCATGTGTTAGCTCTGACCATTCTTCTAGTGCTTCGTCATCTCATCGCCTGATATATTAGAGAAAACACCGCAGACTTTGTGTGGTGTTTATTCCTGTTCTGAGAGAAGCTAACCTTCTTACAGAGTCAGACAATTTCTGGTTTCTGTGTTATGGCAGGAAATACATTCCTCTGTACCAGATTAGAAATATATTCATCCATCTCCGTATTCCATAAACCGGGGTGAAGAGAAGGTGGCCGAGAGAAGCTTAGGTTCCCTGAATGAGAGCTGGAAGAGCCCCTGGGGGTGGAGATCGGCTTGCGCAGGGCGTCGGACGCTTCTTTCCTGCCCCGTATTTGAACCCGGAGCCTCGCGGGCCAAACGCGCCCCCTAGCGCCCAGCTGTGGAAGCGCACGGTGACTTCCCGGCCCTGGGCACGGACCACCAAGCCACACACACCCAGCCCCTTTTTATTTTTTGTAGTTGGAGACAGAGTCTTGTCCAGTCACAAACTTGCCACCCTCCTGCCTCAGTCTCCCAGGGTGTGAAGATGACGGGTGTGCACCACCAGGCCCAGGCCGTGGAGAATTCGGATGGTTCGGGCAGCGGCAGACTTACTTAGGGCTTTGCAGGAAGAAAGCAGGACAGAGACGGAAGGGGTGAAAGCCTTGGGGGAGTGACTGAGCTCAGGGAGAGGCCGGGCTGTGGGCGAGGACTTCGGTGACCTGTGACCCTCGAACCTGGAGCGCAGCCCTGCAGGACGGCCAGAGTCAGCGGCCTCAGACACGGGAACAGTGGGGCTGACAGGTGAGCGCCTGGTCCTGCTCCCAGGGTCGTTTTCTGTCCTCTCTGTTTCTCATGGCAGTGCTGGCTCCCTCTGGCTGTACAGGGCCCCGCCTGTGCCGCAGCCCCCCTCCCACTGCAGCCCGGGGATCCCACCCCGAGTCACGGGGCTGTGACAAGAGAGGCCTCAGAGGCCCCGGGAGTAAGAGGGCCTCACGGGGCGCAGGATGCGATCACTCCCACCTTCCCTCCCCGTGGCTCCCACCTGACTTTTCCTGAGCGGAGGAGTTCCAGAATAAGGGGTTTTCCCCAAGGTAGCGGGGTGCTTGCAGAACCAGCGGGGAGCTGGGCCCGTAACCAACGGGGCAGCCCCGTCTTGGCGATCCGGGGCCTCATGCAATCTTCACGGCTGCCTCACCGTCTGGGGCCCCTCACCCCCGGGTTGTAAGGGAGAGATGTGGTCATCCCGGCCTTGGGCTAAGTTTCAAGGCCCCCCGCCTCCAGATCTGAGCTCTGTGCTGCATGCTATGCCCACGCCACGCCTAGGTACCGAGGGAGCCGGCTCTGGTGACCAAAGCATTTCTCGAAACTGGCCTTGCATATTGGAGCTATTTGCTTTGAGATTTTACACACTCATCCTGGCGTATCTTCTGATTTTTTTTTTTTTTTGGAGGGGGTTGTTTTGAGAAAAGTCTCACTCTGTAGTCCAGGCTGGCCCCCAAATCCCCATGTAACCCAGGGGACTTCCACTTGTGGTCCTCCTGCCTCAGCCTCCCAAGTTCTGAGACAACAGGTATGTGCTACCACACACCCA